TCTAAGTACTCCATCCAGTCTTGCGCTCTCCAGTACAAAAAAAAAAAAAAAAAAAAAAAAGGACAGGCTGAGCCAGTTGTATCTGTCAGCCTTAAGAAGAGAAAGCTCAGGAGAGACTTTATTGCCACCTACATATACGTCATCAGATGATACACAGAAGATAGAGCCAAGCTCTTTTTGAAGCTGCAAGGAAGGAAAAGTTTCAACATGGGAAATTCTTATCAACTGGGGGGAAAAAGTTACCGTGAGACCATGGTCAAATATTGGAGCTGAGGCCCAGAGGAACTGTGGGAACTCCATGCATGGAAGTGTTCAAGATTTTACTAGACACATTCCTGAGCAACTTGATGCAATTAAAACTTGCTTTGAGCAGGATGTTGGACTAGGCGACCTCCAGAGGAACCTTCCAACCTAAATTCTATTATTCTATGGAAGTTTAAAAATGGAAATCCAGTTGGCCAAAATATGTATACAACAACTGAAACCAAACACTAGAAGAGTTAATGTGCAACTCTGAGAAAAAGAAACACATTAGATGGACATCAAGATGTTTCTTAAGTAAGACAGGGAAAAGGCTCCAATAAAACTTCTGTGACATTTTAGGCCATTGGCAGTACTGTATGTCTTTCACGTCTGAAGACTTTCTACGCACAGTTGCCCAAACAATTTCTGCTTTTAGCCTTCACTATTAGGAAATCAGAGAGTGATAGCGAGGTCATCTTATTCCACATCTTAATATGAGTGGAAAGAAGACAAGAACCAACTGACAATGTCCTGAAAAGGAAAATCGCCAAGAAGGAGAGCGGTCTCCGTTTATTATCCTTTTATAGTGCAGTTCTACTTACATGACTCCTTTCCATTAATCTCCAGGCATCCCATGGAGAAAGCAGGAGACTGATGCACAATTTAATGACCTGCTTTGTTGGAAACAGCAGGATAAGCCTGTTTAATATGTTTGCTCTTATTAGTGAAGACTGACCAACAGCTCACCCCCAACAAAACCCCAGCAGCAACAACAGCAATAATGACTGCACTTTTTTAATCAACAAAGCAAAAGAGATTCTAATCTGTGTATTTCTGATTGAGTGATGTCATATTGTTCATTGACACCCAAATGATATGTCTTCAGCTCTTAACATCTCTCTGCTTTCCCTGTCAGTTATAATGCTTTCTCAAGCCCTTCCTGTGCCGGGAAACCCTGCTGCTTAACATTCATTCTCCTGCCTTCTTTCTGTTTTGCTTTTTACCTGTTCTGAGATAACAGTTTCCCAGGCTGGCTAGCCATTGCTTGCTTTGTGTCACAATGACCTTTTCCGGGCACTTTCTGTCATCTAAATTTTATTTTATCTAATCTCATTGATTCCTCCTTATGTAGTGTACCGATCTGAATGCAACAAGACGTTGGTGGGTTGTTTTTTGTTTGAAATCACCTACATCTCATTTTCTCTTGGCCTTTTAAACGACCTGGCAGTACACATCTACAATCCAAGGCAGCAGGTGCTGGAGCAGCCACCTACAGCAGCACCCACCACAGTCTGGTAGGAACCGAACCACTCTAGCTTCGCTAGATTTCAAACCATGTGTGATGTCTATGGCACTGCTGGGAAAACCTACACTGACAGGATGGGATGGCAGCCTGTGCTGCAGCTGATAGAACTGCATGTTGTTTCTCTGAGGCCTGGGCAGAATGAAGGTGATGAGCATCCTGCTGGTATGCTGGGGATAAGCACACTTAGAAGGAAGGCAGCCAACATGGGACCACTACATGTGGTCTTGAGAAGTCAGCTCCTACAAGGAGTCAAGTAGGGTCAAGAACTGTAGGAATGTGGTCTGAGAGTTAGCAGAGAGGATAACTGTTTTAACTTAAATTTTGGTATGTTTTGTTTCTTATGTTTAAAGAATGAAGGACCCATTCAGTCATATTTCTGTATTTTTTTTTCTACATTTGCAGAATAAAAGAGAAAGTTCTGCCTAATAATGCATATACAATAATATGGGCACAACAATTTAACAGTATGATGTTGGATCCTTGTTTGCCCTTTATCTTGGCTAGAGAATAGATTGCAATAGAGAATAATTTTGTTTTTCACTCATGAATCATATTTGTGGCTTGAAACATCCCAGGCAAATACTGTCCTTAGGACTCAAAATATTTAAAAAGGAAACGTCTGCATCCTTCAGTACAGGGCCAGCAGAAGTTTTAACAGCTTCTGCCCTTGCAAAGCAAAATGAACTGTGCAAGAGGCAGCAAATCTTCATCTTATAATATCTCAGGGTCATATGAGGGTTGTGCTTTATAATAAAAATGTGCACAATACGATCAACAGAGTTAATTTGTTTTCCTGTTGGTGACCTAAACACCAAAGCAGTGTTCTTGTGTAAAGGGCTGTCTTGTTAGCCTATGCATCTAAAGTGTACTGTATTGACTTGTTCTCAGCATACACATACTGCTTGTAAAATGCAATATGCAAAGAATATAGCCTTCCCATAAATTTACCTTTACTGCTGTCCTTTCCTATTTCTCCTTATTGATGCTTAAAAACTGAGTTTGCCTTTCTGCTTAAATCGCAGACTTTTAGCAAAGTTATTTTGCAGCTAGGGGTTTGACTGAAGGAAGAAGTCTTTGGGAATTTTTTATGGCTCTATACCTCCAACTACAGTGCTTGCTACTTATGGTGGCAGAAGAGTTGATAAAGACATAGGTCTTCTGTTTATTCCTGTCCTCACTTTAATTTAAGATCACTTTCTCTGTCAACTACTTGTCTCTGCCAACAGTGAATCATACAAGAATTTCCTTGGGATATATAGACTGTATCTGCACTGGAGTGTTAGCATTGAGCACCTCTGCAGCAGACTCATTTCACTCCAAAGCTATCTCTGAATAAAATAACTTTTTATTTCACAATCCTTTTCAGGATTAAAGATAACAAAGCATTTTGTTAGAAATAAAGTTGGGGGAGTGTGTCCTATATTATGTGTCCTGAGGTTGAGCTTATTTAAAGATGCCCAACGTGGCTCCTGGAAACTGACCACTGAGTGCGATCATGGCCTCACTCACCACACTGGACTGATACGGAAGACCTGCTCAGTAAGCCACAACCCATGCTGATATGCAAAACACTAGCGAGAATGGTACAGGGACCATCCTCATAGATACATAATGTACATACATACACATGTATATGTATATGTATATGTATATTTGTATGTACACTCACACATACATCCCTTCATGCACACAGGTAACAGCAAGGTAAATATACGTGTACATACTAACAAATAACAGAAAACACAAACACCTCCAAGTGCCTCTACGCTGTGCTAATGTATACAGTGATACCCTCATGTCATGCCATAATGAACAACACAAAAATATAGCAGTAAAATTCAGTACAGGCCAAAACGAGCAAAAAGCTTAACTATTCTTGTCATTGTCCACCACTGAGGTACTCAAAAAGGCAGTCATGCAATAAGCAGTCTTAAAACCACAATTTTGTATATGAGAGAACTGCAGATTAGATAAAAAGAATTTTAGTCGAGGATGTTTATTTTCCTAGTGATGTGAACATACAAAAAATTGTTGCTAGCAAAGCCTCGGGAAGAACCACTGCAGCTTTGTGCATGGCAAGTATCTAGCAAGAGCCAGCAGCACCACCTGGTGTGTGCCATACAAACGTACAAACACGACGAAAAAATCTCTGGCTAGTTTCCATTTAAATGGTATGTTCAAGATAGTTTGATTTGCATGGCTACAGTTATTAAATTAATGGAGTTAGGAGTCTGGAGTCGTCTTAGAAATGAAGTAAAGATCTCCAACTCTTGGCTTTGGATGTGACTAATAAACCTTGCTTATAGTAGGATATATCAATTTAAGCACAGCCATCAATGGACATGTGCGTTTTGCCCTGTATCCCCTTGAGTACCCACAGAATCAGTTCACTTGCTGGAAGAGTGGGTTGAGCGAGGCTGTGTCGGCCCACAGGGTCCCGTTCAGACATACCTTCAGGCCTTCCTCTCTCTCAGCCAGCTTTGAAAACAAGCCTAAGGCACTTTCGGAAATTTCCCTGTCAAACTCCTCCCACTTCTGAAATAATTTTTTTCCTTGTTTGTTAAACTAAGATTACATTCTGCAATTTGCAATGCCACCTTTGATGGGAAGTCCTGCTTAAAACGAAATCAAAACCTTGGAGAAAACCTAAATAAGTACTTTTTCAATGTGTATTAAAATAAATATGCATGGGTGTTTACAAAGAGCAATTGGCCCTTGTGTTTAAAGACAGCTGGATTCCTTTGTGACTCAGAGAGAGAGAAAGATCCCTGATATTCACTTCTATTTTCCTCTAGTCGTTTTCTCAGCAAGTAATAGCATGTCGACCTAGAGTGGGCAAATACTCCAGGCACAAATAAGTTTATTTACAAGTAAATACATTCGTTCATAAGTCATTATGCTCCTTCACATATGAACACCCAAGCTAAAAAGGTAGGAACTTAGATGAAAACAGAAGTCAGATTCAGCAATTGGGCATGTAAACACATGCCTTTAGCTACAACAAGTCTCTACATAGCTTGCAGCCAGTCCTGTAAAAGGTCACTGAGTAAACTCTAAAAAAATCAATGCCTCAAAAGATACTCAACTTCAATCGTGAGTTTTGACATGATTTGTAAGTCAGCACATACTAAGTTTTAAGTACTGTAAAACTTTTATAGGTGGGAAAAACCAAAACCTACTCTCAATCACCCCTTAGCCCCAGAATCCCCCTTCACCTCTGCTTAGGGGAAAGACCAAATGGCAGCAAAGGAAGTGACAAGGAAAAGCATCAAGCACTGAGCATCTACAGACACAAAATTTCAGTCTCACGAGTCAGTGCTGCAGGCTTTGAGCAACCTGATCTAGTGGAAGGTGTCCCTGCCCATGGCAGGATAGTTGGAACTAGATGATCTTTAATGTCCCTTCCAACCCTAACCATTCTATGATTCTGTGGTTGCCCTGTGACACTTACTGTGGGGTAAGGGTGTGAGCAGAAGACCGTGTATTTCCGAATGATGCCGTTCAGCTTGAGGGGAGGGAGCCAGGACACGAAGACAGTGGAGGCCGAAGCTGCAGCTGCTTTAACACCAGCGGGAGGACCTGGAACTGTAAAAACAAGATGTGTTAGAGTGGTCCAAGGCAGGCACTCAGTTATCTGAGTGTAACATAGGAGCAAAAAAGAAAAGTGAAGCGTACTGCTTTGGTAACTGTGGACCAAGGTGGACAGCTTGTGTTAGGAAGCAACCTCCACGCTTCCCATGCCAGAGGAGAGGGTTTGGAGTGCTGTGCCCCCATCCCTAAGAGGGGAAAGGCTCTGCTTCAGAGGTCTTCGAGGCAGAAGCTACCTCTGACAGTTAAACTTTTGTGAAGCATAACCCTTAGCCTGCATGCATCAAAATACATTGGCTGTGGCCAGCGAAAATTGCCAAAAAATATTTTTATAAATTGTCAGTTTTGAAGGCATAACTCATGTCAAATGATTATTCGCTGTATAAATAATATGCATGTGAACAGTATAATTAACACACACGGTAGAGCTGTGAATTTAATGAAGTGGAGAGCAAATGAGCTGTAATCCCATGCAATTAGCACTGCCTGACATGACCCAGGTCTAGCCAGTGGTGTGACACATGAGCAGGCATATGGCCACACAGTCTCCTTTCCCCCAGCCTTGCCCTCAGCAACTCAGACTTCGTATCTGGAGCTGCAGCATTTGAACACATAACTATTTCTCTAATTACAGCAGCTATCTGCATAAGCCATCAAAAACTGTCACAGAAAAAGAGAAAAAAAACCTCCTTTCTAAAAACACATGGAAAAAACTTCAGCCAGGAAATGCTAAAATCTTGGTACATAATCTTAACTGTATCTCTTCACACACTTGCATTTTGAGAAAGACTTTAATTTCATGAGCATATGTTATTTTTCAAACACACGTTACACTGTACAATGTTCTCCAACTTTGGAAGCGCTCTTATACTAATGTGAAAAAATTCCTGCGTGCTAGAATATCACATTACACATAAACTGGTACTTAAACAAAATAGCAAGGGCTACAATTAACATTAGAGTAAATTGTTTTAAAGTTTCCTGAAAAAAACCCACCTCTTTTGTCAACAGGAAATTATTTAAAAATATTTTGTAATTATAAAAATAAGTAATTTGACATATATTTTTAGTACTGCATGTGCAGAATATTCATGTTAAATTATTAATATAGATATGTTGTACTGAAAATTACTACATATGGTATTAAAGACAAAATGAAACATTTTAATGGACTCTGCAGAATTTCTAGTTCATGAAGAATCTAATATTTTCGTCTAATTTCAAGCAAAATAATGAAAATGATAGAATTTCCAGTAAGACTACCACTCCAATGTTTCATTAGCTTTCTCTACTTTCACAGAAAACAGTTGTTGTGCAATACAAATGGAAAAACCCTTGTCCAGCAAGCTGATCTTTGTAGAAGGATCGTTAATCTTGGTTTTATCTCATTTAAGTAAGCAGATATTATGGTGGTAAATAACTTTGCCTATAAAGAGAAACCAGACAGCCTCGGGTCTAAATTTGCTTAGCTTTGTTGTCTAGCTACTTCAGGTTGTAAAAAGCAAACAAGGAGAACTTCAGTTTTATATCTATACAGGTAGTATTGGAAGATGTAAGAAAACTGACAGAGAGGCACCATTCAGTGCAACATTTCTATGCATTTTCTATTCAAAGTGTGTCGAGAAAGCTAATAAGGCATCAAGTGAGAATGTCATGATTATAATTGCATGCAAACCCAGCCCCTCGCTGCAAAGGGGCTAATTCAGTTAGCAGTGCTATCCAATGCAGAGTAAATATTGATGCTTGACAGCATTCAACTTGTTATTTATACCCTGCTCATTAGAAATGCTATTTGCTCCTGCTGCTGAGGAGTGAAAGCTGGCTCTCCAGGGTAATTACTCAACCCACGGGAGGATTCCTTGACGGTTAGTAATGTTTTCTGGAAATCACTGCAAATAGATGTATGAGGTTAAAGTAATTTATTGTTAAATTAGGGTGTGATCTATAGGGACAGGTTTTGATGGTAATTGGTCATGGCTGTCAACTGCTGAGGGATTAACTCAAAATTCATCTAGCATTTTCCAGTCAATGGACATATGTGGAAAAATATTACTTGTCATTGGGCTGCTGTATTTCTATCTAGCATACAGACCAGCAAAAAGAGGGGCTAGAAGGAAGTCAGGAAGTCATACAGTCAAATTTCTGAAGCTTTTCTAATCCAAAGACCTCTTCACCTTGTTGTGGAGTGGTTGGAATCAGGCAACAGTTTTTGCAGTGATGCCAAAATTATTCTGAATGTTCAATTCTCTTTTTGTCTTTGTTTGCTGGGTTGTGCACGTGAAAATGACTGTGTGTGGGGAAGTGTTTACATTTCCTTAGCAAGAACACTGCAGACTGTCATCTGATGCCTTACAGACCACCACTGTCCTCTGTCCAGAGGGTAAAGTCATTGTTCAAACTCATCTCCTGGGCCTAAACAAGATTATTATGAGTTAGCTCAGCATTAACCGAAACATTTGTTACTAAACATGGGTTCCTTGAGTATCTGAAAAAGTTGTGGTGGGGAAACGTGGTGCCTGCCTTATCTTGGAGAGGAAAGATCCCAGTCTTGCTACGCTGACTTAAAGTATTTCCTCTCATTGCCCTTGCATCCTGTAGCCTTACTAGCTTCAGTCGGTACAAGACAGCAGTATCAGAAGACCTGGTTCATCTTATTGAATTCTCCATGGATCGTTATTGAGCACACTGATTCCCACAGATTTCAGCAGACAATGTAAATGTGCATAATACCATAGCTTTTTTTTTCTATTGTCACCAGGGATAAAATAACGGCAAGAAGCTGGAGGACAACCAGGGCTGAGCACAGAGAAGCCGATGACTGCTTCCAGACAAGTTTGCAACCTTCTAAGGAGTAGATTTGGCAAATTTAAGATCAAAGATGGCCTCATTCTCCAGCTAGCAGGGCTTTGAAAGACATGGAAATAGCATGCTGCTTTCATGTGGAGGAGAACGCTTTGTATTCTTGACAGTGCAAGTGAAATGCTAACGCAGAGAAGGCAATTATACTGATAGGACTAGTCCGTGAAACAGCATTTAGATGTGCTAGATAATGGGGAGGAGCTCCAGGAAGTTTCTCATTCCCCTTTTCATAAGCAGAGAGATTATCACCATTTTTCTTCACAGTACTGAACAGCAGGGAAGCAAACGCACAGAGCGCAGTGCCATTCAGAGCAATATCACCAATTTATCAGAAAACTGAACCCTGCTCTATAATAGACTTCTAATTCTGCACCACACAAGACTATCTTATTGACTGTTACATTTATGAAAAACTAAACAAAATAAGCTCCTGACTGCTGCTGATAGTGCCTTTGTTCATGTAGATATCCCACCTACAGTTTAGATCTATGCCAGCCAAAATATATTCCAATGTGCTGTCCACCCCTCATTCACTCTGAACTCACCTGATATTAATCACACTATTTCTATCAAATCCTGTCAGTTTCACAAGGGGAACATTTATTATTCTGTACCTTTTTTGTTAGTCAAAAAGATAAAATTGGAGATCTCTGACGATAAAAAGAAATGATTAAGAGGGCATTAAGGGTAATTTTGATCATGGCACCCAGGTGATGAAGTGCACAACCGCCCCCACCAGCTGAACGAGCCCAAGCAGAGCTCTGTTCCAAAGAGTACTGAACATGCCCTTGATTGGATTTATGCTTACTCATTTTAGAATAAAGTTTCATCAGATGGTGTCTGTACATCTACCCCTCTCACACCAATCACCAGGAAGCTTGGTATCCAGAGAGAGAAAGAAGAGGAGGAAAATCTCTCTGGATTCAGGCAGAGTCTTACAAAGAGGCTGGCAAAGGGGTTTAGTGTTATTCCTCCTTGCCCCCCACAGCTAGTCCCTGCTCCTCCCTCACTGCAGCTTTCCACTTGCTCTGAATGCAGACCTCAATGGCAGAGGAGAGCTGGAAGGACAGCACTGCTGCACTGAGCAAAGTCTTCCGTGAATACACGAACAGCCTTCCATGCATAAGAATGCATTTTCTCAGAAGAAACAGATGCAAGAGAGAAACATGCATCCTTCTGCATCACAGAAACCCCAGAAGCAACCTCTTGCCAGACACTCAGTAAAAAGCAGGGTAGGGGACAAAACCACAATGAATTCTTAAAAATTAGGCATTTCTACTTGACTTATTTTTCTGCCAGGAGGAACTTCAAGAAGAGCAGTGTCTTCTTCTGAAGGCTAACTGGGGAAAGAAAAAAGCTAGACAAAACCCATAAATATGATCACATTGAAAGGAAAGCTCATTTCCTATTATTTGCTAGAGCTGTTCTCATTTCCTAAGTTGATCAGCAGCAATGTCTGACCTCTGGTGTCTAAAATCAGTATCAAACACTACAAGAAATCGAAGCATCAACTCCTTGCATCCAAGCTGATTGCTTCACTCCCTGGGTTACCCTTATTTTGCTATATTAGAGATTTCAAACCTGCTAGAGAAATTTTGGCCTGATATCTCTAGCTGAACACCAACAGAGAAGTCACAGGAGGCCAAGATCTGCCTTTCAACAGCAGCAGTGGAACACGCTGCACCATTGATTTTACAAAGAAAAGATTCTCCTAATGTAAAAGAAATGAAAAAAGAAAAATAAACTACTGATGTGATATGGCTTTAAAGTAATAACAATGTGGAGGGCTTGGCAGTCACTTAAAAATATCTCAGACATACCGATTTGGTGGAATATCTCGTGTCATAATTTTATCCAGAGAAAGTCTGGGAGCAGAATTAGAAGGCTTCCGTATCTAGGCTCTGTTAACATTTTAATTATTTGTATTTCACATGCTGACAGAGTGTTCAAACTAACTTTAGCGCAGGATCTTTTAGGTACACCGAAATTAGCCCTACTGAATAATCTTCTGCAGGATCCTCTTTTCCTTAGAAAATTACAGAAGAAATGTCTGTTCTTTCTGAGGAATGAGACACCTGTTAGATACATACAGTTTGACAATGTGAATGCTATTTTGCCATTTAACTTCCACAGTCTTAAGGATGTCTAGACCTGGGACTTCGGTTTTGGCTTACGTTTAACTGCAGTCCTTTATGTATTCCACTCCAAAGCTTTATTGTCTTTAATAAAAAGTTGTGAAGCTGAAGCAAAACATGAAACAATTGTATTTTCTGGAAACACCTTTCAGTTTAGTTTTCTGAACAAAAGATTTAATGAGTGGAACCACCGCGAGGCATCAGAAAACATCTGAAAATGTTAGTCACGCTGCCTCGGGGTGAATTATTGCTGAACTGCCAGGAGGATTAAAGATGAGAGACGAGCCTTTGCACAGCATCCAAACACAGTCAGAGTCTATGTGCTTCACAAATCTCAGGACCTGTCTGATCTCAGAAAAAGAGAGAGCAAAAGAGTCACCAAGAATTAGGAAGAAGCAAACTAAGATGAGGTGGGTTAACAAAAAAAAAAAAAAGACAAAAAACTGGAGGCTTCCGATGTTTCAGAACTGTGGCAAACTGGAGGCAGGTCACGGGAGATGGATGGATGTATGTGTCTGGGGAGGGAGCAGCAATGGGCACACTAACCCCTCAGACAGGAAACACTGTTAGAAAGCAGCAAGTTATCCATTGCTCTCCCTGGTCAGCAGGACAGAGGGAAGTACTCAACCCCCTCTGCGGCAAGAGAGAGCTTTATGATGGATTCTTAACTGGTACAAGATACCTAGGGAGGCTATGGAGTCCTCATCACTGCAAATTTTGGAGAAAAGGTTAGTAAATACCAGTGATGGCTGAGATGTATCTGATCCTATTTAGAGCAGGGGAATGGGCTTGGTGAAGTGTCAGTACACCATGTTTGTGTTGTCCACAATGAGAGACAGGGGTCCTGCTGGCACCACTTCTGCCATCTGATCAATTCCAAAAGCTGAAGGAACCTCACACAGAGACAAGATGTTATCTGCACCCAGATATGATGCAAGATCTCAGTGATGCCAACATCTAGCAAGTCCAGGAAGTAGACCTACATTAACCAACATTGTTATATGCCTAAATTTCCTCACATTTCCAGATATAAGGCATTCATTTAAATTTTTTGTTGTTAATTCAAGTTTGGTCAAAGTAATGGAAAGTATTAAGTACAGGAAAACAGAACAAGGAACAAGTAATAACTCACTTGATAATGTAAGAAAAAATTTTAGAAGTCCAATATTCATTTATACTGCATCCCGTGGATACAACTACAGTTGGGGCCAGGTGATCTTAAAATGTATGTAAATTTTAGAATGAGTCCCTTCATGATTTATTGGAAAAAATTAATAACCTTTATTAAGCCATTTTTTTATTGGCAAAAAGGTCAAACATTTATCAAGTCAGTTAATCTACTGAACCTACTCTCTTGGTACTTTTGTAAATCTCATTACAAATAAAAAATTTGACAAATTTATATTTATGCATTCATGAATGATCAGTAAACTGGGTAAGTAATTAAAAAAAAAATCCATTGAAAAAATTTCTTGAAAAAATCTTGCATAACACACAGGAGAATTTACCAATCAAACATTATTCAAGTAACTTCATTGAAAGGACTCTGTGCATTTTTATTTCCACAAAAAAATTCTTGATCCAGATTTTCAAGTGTTTAGGGATCTAAAGATGGATTTATACATCTCATGGGATTTTCAAGGCCTTAAAAAGGTTAGGGACAAAACTGCCGCTGAATTTGAAATTCTAGTCGTTGAGAAATATGTGGCATCCTACTAAGGTAACCTGAAGTGATTTCCACAGTTAAAGACAGAAGAAAGTGATTATGAAATTTCATGTGTGTGTGTGTCTGTGTGTGCTTAGAAGTTTCTTAAAATGCTTAGTCTATGAACAAAGGCAAGACATTTTTGTTCTTCATTTTGCTTTTGAGGGAGGAGGTGTTCGGAGGAATTTTTTTTTTTTTTAATGTACTGAAAAAATTTTCTCAGAAGCATGTAAGTTATATAAGATTGTCCCACAACAGTCTCTCCTCCTTTCCCCATTTTCAATCACTTCAAAAGAATTAACTCAAGCCCTCTCAAAATTCTCAGATAAGATCCTGAAGTATTTGGGGAAAAGAAAAAAGAAAAAAAAAGTGAAACTTGCTCAGATCATTAGTGTTATCTACAAACTTCTAGCTTACCTGAACTGGAGTCTTGGAATCGGTCAGATTGTTTTCAAAGCTGTGTGCTCCTAACTCAATATCTTCAGACAGAAATCTCACTCTGCATATTTGTGTACAATATTTGCACTATTTTGAAAGTCTAAAACATACAAAAATTTTGTGGCAGTAGGAATGGAAAATATTTTACTCCTTACCATCTTCTTTAGTGCGGGTGAAAATTTGTTCACTTCTCACTCCATCTCCAGCTCTTGTAAAAGCCAACACCTGAATGCTGTAGTTGGTGTATTTTTCCAGGCCATCAAGCTCCAGTGATGGCTGTGTGGTAGTCACATTCTTTATCTCTCCTAGCTCTATAGAATAAAAAGGAAACTGAGTTATTGCCAAGTTCGGCCTTCTCCCAGCTATTAATACCAACTAGGGGAATCTTGGGGATTAGAGAGTGTACTGGAGAAGTAATGCTTTATTATTATAAAATAGTAATGAATTATAATAAATTAAAATAAATTCCTTTGTGTCCTCACTTCTTACCATTCAAAGCAGATCCAGTTTTAATTTTCAAACTTTTTTTTCGATATTTTTTAAATACAGGAAAAAGAATTGAAAATTTCTGCAAGTAATAATATTTTTCATAAAGAATAGATTATAAGAAGAGATTATTGGAAAATATTCCCTGAAGCAAAAATGAGAAAGTCAGTTGTCTTCATAAAGATTTTCTGGTTTTGAGAAAGACCATTTCTCATACGGAAAAATAAAAAAAATAAAGCCCCTTTATTTCAAAATATGTAGCAAATGCTGCTGCAAAGTACTTGATGGCAGTAATACCAACTAACAATAGATTTAAACACAGTAAAATCAGATTTATTTTGCAGAGAGACGATGCCCTTCATACGAACCTTTTTTTGCAGCAAGCTAAGAAGTACAACCCATACGGCAAAAAAGCTTTAAACATATTTAGGGCAGAAAATAAAGCTGAAGAAAATCCATGTTTAAGCACTGCATGAACGTCATCTGTTTTCATCAGGTTACAGGACATCACACAGGAGCTTAGATGTGCACTTACAATATTCACATAGGATTTGATCCAAAGACTACAGGTATCACTGAAAACATTTCATTTTATGTCTGTCATGTCTACATTCTTATGTATGCTTCTCATACATTTTTAATCTTTATTTTAAAATGTACAAAGGAATTGGTCGTTTATTTCCCAATATTTTCGACTCTTAACATATTAGCAGTAACAATGAGCCTCTGGGTTACAGTTCCACTCTGAGTTCCCCTTGCCACACTAACAGAGGCCGGGACTTGCAAAACAGTTACGTGTTAGAGTGAACTATGATTCTGATGGATGAAAGCAAAAGAAAGGAGACAGCTCGTTGCCCTAGAGCTGTGAAAATTCAGCAGGGCAAATAAGAATAAAAGCATGTGCATCTCAAAACTACTAATATTTAATTTAGAAGAAAGGACCATACGTAGAATTATCATCGTGATAAATTGCAGATTAGTAAGGTACCTCATTTCTCCTTTGATCATTTCACTCATTCTCTGCTCAGGAGTCTATTTCCCTAGGAATTATGCTAAAAGTACAAAACATAACCACAACAGAAGAGGCTGGCATGAAAATAACAAGGCTTTTCCAAAAACATTTCCTTCTTTTGCTTTCAGCTATGGAAATGAAACGCATCCTGTCAAAAAAACAAGCAATAACCTCTAGAGTAGGCAACTAGCTAAGCAAGCAGATAACCTACCAAACTAAAATAAAATACAGGACTGAGTAGGTATGTTCTAGGTTCACATCATCATTCTTTATCAAAGAAGCCTGCTGGACTTTGTAACTGAAACAAAATTTGCTCAGGTCATTTTGGGTACTATGGCAGGTCTACAGAGTGTTGCTTCCCTGAGGGCCTCTCCAGGCAGCTTTGCAATGCCTACTGCCCTGTCAAAGCTCTATGGAAAACGGCTTCCTTCACAGGTAGATGAAGCTTTCTCTAAACTGAAGAGAAAAGGAAGTACAATGCCTTCACAGCAGAGAGTAAATGATATAAAGGCCACATAGGGCTTGTTACTTGGTAATAGCTTGATTTCTCTCACCTCCGTCCAAGAGATTGGCCCAGTAGATAACCCTGAATCCTTGCAGAATCCCATTCAGGGTTTCTTTCGCCAACGTTGACCAAGAAATAGAGATGGTTTCTGGTGATGTGGCAGTGGCATGCACATTCCCTGGAGGGCAACTGGGCACTGGAATAAGAAAGTCACCATTTTTAACTCAATACAACTCAATGTTTACCCTTTGGCTACCTTTCAATTATCCTTGCTATCCCACTACTCGTTATTTAATTAGCAGTGACACACTGTTAACAATGCAAAACCTTTATTCTTGCAATCCACATGTTTGTGCAAGTGCAGCTGGTTTCCCTGGAATGACTTTTTATGTACTGCTTCCTCACTTGCTGACTAGTCTTTTAATAGGTTTTTTGTCATTTCTTGTGAAAGAGAAATGTGTCCTAAGGCTGAAATATGCAGAATATTCTGTAAGCAATTTAAATATACTTTTTAAAGTTTGCAGTCAAATTGCCATCTTTCTGGACAGTTCTAATGTCCCTTTAAATTTGGTGGTGGGGGAAAGCAGGCATTTCTTTAAAAAATATTGGAAAAAATGTTCATAAAATATTTTCACTGACTTTTAGAAAAATTGGAAAAAGTCAGCCAAATCTAAGGCATTTTCTGTTGGCCATTTAGTGTCAAAGCAGTACAGTAGTATTAGTATTTGGCATTGCTTTTTAGAGCTCATGACATCTTTAATTCTGAAAGGGATGCAAAATTGAGCAATGACAAAAAAAAAATGTCAGGAAAAGTAAGCATGCTAGATTCTGAAGGAAAAAAAATACTATTTACTATAGCACAAAATATATGCATGTGTTAGTGTACTGCCTTCTGAAGTCTTTCCGTGATCTGTCTAGGTCTAGAAACATTTAGAGTGAATGAAAAAAAAAACAAAACAGCCTTCCGTGAAGCATATGCCTCAAAATTTATAGTTCTTGAGAATTTTAAATGTGTGCTACTTCATTTTGCCCATGTAAAAGGTCAGATTCTTAGCTGGCACTGACTTTAGTATACTGATGCCAATTTACAGTAGCTGAAAATCTGAACTACACTATCTTTTAGGATTATTATTTGCTTTTACACTCCTCTAAAATACTGAGCCTCTTTTTGGGTATGGAATCATTCTCTTTTTCCACTAGAGGACTCCCTCTCATTGTTTGATAAGTACTTTTTATGCAATTTGAAAAAAAAAATAATCAAAATTGTTCCTTGGATTAGACAGGTTGAATTTTGTCTGAAATAACAAAGATTTTTCGCTTATTAGTTTGGATATCCTTGAAAAAAACCACACATCTTTCTTTTTGCTGACAAGATAAAGCACTGTGCAGTACAAGAGCACTAGATTTCACAGCAGATTCATTTGAAAACAAAAGAAAGTCAACAGAATTAACAGTATCACCTTTCAGAGTTTTACTTCTTAGCATCTCAAAACTATGATGAGACCACTATGAAGCTACGGTGAGATTACAAAATTTGCAAATGTGTAAACACCAGAGCAATAGGCTTCTTAATGAAACCTGTGATCTTAGTTAATATCATTCACAGCAGGATATATCACATTAGTAGAGTTAGATTTATTTACCTGGATGATTCTGCATCTCTTGCAATGAAAATTGCACATGCTCATTGGCCAGCCTCTTTCCATCCAGCTGTCTACCATATCTAACACTTGTAAAGTCTGGTCTTCTATTATCCCCACTATAAATATCACTAATCAAGCAATAAATGTAACAAGGTAAAAAGAAATAAAGAAATAATAATATGTCCCGTGAAAACTGTTTGCCTAGGACCTACCATCCTCAAGAGTAGTGGTGATGATTTCCTGAGAAGAAGGTCCTATTCCAGCCCGGTTACAAGCCTGGACTACCATGCCATACTGGGTGAATTTTTTCAGGTTATTCAGCGTATAAACTTCACTGTCCCCAGTGGTATCAATACTGATGATGTTGAACTGGAAATTGCCCCCTGCACTGTACTCCCGATAACCTATCTGGTATCCACGAATAATTCCATTTTGCAAGTGCTTCTTTGGAGCCTAAACAGAAAACGAAAGATTACATATTAAGCACGTCTCCAAAGTCAAATTATTCCCCTTAGAATTTTTGAAATATACACAAAGTCAGCATTTTTTTCCTACTGAATGCAAGTCTATTTCTAGGTAACAATTCAAAAAAACTCCCTGCACATGAAGTAGTAACTTTTTACCATGATATATAAATTTCAGGTGCAGTCTGTTCTAATTTATGCATTCATGTGCCAAAAGAAAGACCTTTAAATGCTCAGAGAAATCTGATGAGATATTCTTGATTTATGATATGAATTTAGAATGTTTTGTTCTCTTATCAGATGAATCAATCAAAGCTGAGTTGATAAGGGTATATTTGCATCACAGGCCTACCATTCACTACTGTGTTTTTGCCAGAAGCCTCTGCCATTCACTCGCTAAATCTTTAGTAAGGCATTTATTGATCTGCTGAAGGCAGTCACATAAGTTTATTCAGCTAGATGGATTAGGAAAATTTTACGCTGTCCTTTGAAATATGCTTCTGTTCATTCAGTGTGCAGTGTGGAAAGATGATTAGATAATGAGTGCTGAAGGCAATAATGAATTGGAAAGCAGGGATTTGCATACTGAATAGCTACTAAAACAAGGTGTACAATATCTGGCATTCAAGTATATGGACAGTACAAAACGGTTGGCCATAATTATGTGCCATATTTCTCAGCCACAGTGCAAGATTCTCTGCACCTGACTACCGGAAGTAATTTCTGTACTCTGCAATATAAAATGTAGTCGAGAGTAAAACAAGGGTTGGTAACTCAGGGGAAAAGCCTGTTATTGATAGAAATACCTATTAAAATTCCATTTGAATAGTACTGGACTAATTTCCGCATGTGATAAAGTGCTTGTCTGATTTTCTACATATACGAGGTATAATTAGTATAAACATTTTAAGACACAGTTTATAGTCTATAGACAAAAAAGCTCTTTCAAATCCTCCAAATCTCTTTCAAATTCCGACCAGATGCCCATGAGCTCATCTGTTCCACTGACCCATTAAAAAGGTCTTTGTGATGCAGTTTATCAGCAGTGAGTTAAACCGGCAGAGGCAGCAATTTCTGCTGTTACTATATCCCATTAAATCTACTGAGGAACACATTCTCAAGAAGAATACTCTTTTCTGCTACAGGACCTGTCCGTTTCAGCAAGTTTACAGTCCACTGGACAAAAGTCTCACCAGAGCTAATAAAACCAGCATGGGGTTTGTCTTTCATCCACTACCAACAAACCACTGCTCTGCAAAAACCAGCACCCTTTCTGTATTTAAAATGTATCATTGGATGGATCTGACTGATTGAATTATGTCTTCAGAGGCTTTATTTTTTTGCTCCCTCCTGCCTTCAGAAGCAGAAACAAAACTTGAAGCAAGGATATAATTTCCACTGTAGCACTTCGCTTCCTCTGGTACCGACAAGCTCTGCAAGTATGGTGCTGTCTGTTCAGATGTAGATGACTGAATTAGGAGATTCAAGTCTTGAGCACCTTGTAAGGCACACTGCAGGGATTAGAACTGTCTTTCTGGAATCTAAGAGCATAATTGTCTCCTGTTTCCATACTCCTCTGCTTTGCTGCCAAAACCACCCCAACTTCTTTAGAAATATGTAGGTATTTTATTATCAAAACATTTTGTTTGCAAGCGCATTACCTGTTCTGAAGAACTGCATGGCTTCATGATTGTTAAATGATTGCAAATGGTGTTTTTTTTAAGCTGGACTGTGGAGTGGAAACTAAGGCCAGGTTATTTTTATTTTGTTTGAGATTCAGATATCTTCATAAGATAAACCGTTTCATTCCATCCGAGAAGAAAATAACTTTACCACATTTAAATAATTAAATCTTCCAGGGTGAAATTTTTATTAGTTGAAGGACTTCAAATTCTGTTACTAGCCATAGCATTTTGCATAGCTTATACATTTTTATAGGCATTGCCAGTGTTGATGAGAAAGGGCAAAAAGACTGAACTCACATAATCTAAAAGTTTCAAACTGACTAAAGGACAGCTTGGAGAAAGCAGCAGACAGCTCAAAAAGGTGTTATTACAGGGAGGGCTGCTTTCAGGCAACGTTGCAGGTCACTGTCTCTTTCCTAAATGTGTATCAGTGTGGAGGCACCAGTTTAATCATGTCAGGACATCAGTTCTCTCCATCAGTGCTGGATTCCTTCACAGCTTGGCAAATCCTCAAGTCTGCGTGGAGGTTTCTTGTCTCAAACATTAGCACATACACTGCTGCACATCTCAAGCTCTAAAGCCTCTCCTAGGTATAGGCTGCAACTGGAACATTCCCATGAGTTACCACGGGTGGCTTTTGAACAAAAGTTGTTGCCACAAACACACATTGCACATTGAAAGCACAAGCAACATGCATGAAACACATACACCACATAATGTAGTGCAGTTATGGCTTTACGCATGGCACAGACTGCCTACTTCCACACACAGCACACATTAAGATGCTGTATGTATGTATACTATATACCATAAGGCACGCATTGTATACCAAGAAAAAGTGAGTATTCACCTTGTACATAATAGATCACAGAGCATATAGCACATATATTGGAACACATATCATACTGTAAAACAAATGGAACATAATGATGAAATCGAATCATACATTTACTACGCATTGAAATGCTCTCAGACCAGGACTATGGCCAGAATAGCCTCTTCACTGGGAATTCTGCAATTATATACTTTCTCGTTTTATAGAATTTGAATTGGAGTAAAACGGCAAATTTTGCAGTTTTCACGGAACTTTCACAGAATCTTTATAATTGCTTTAGGTCAAGGGAATTTTTTCTTTAAATAAAATATCAACATTTTAAGTTTGTTTTTTTTTCACTTTGAAACATTTTACAATATAAAACAAGATAAAAGTCACTTTGGAACAAAGCATTTGAATGTTCTGTTCCACAACACTTCAAATGTTCCTTGTTAGTACTATCTAAATGCTTCATTTTGGATTGACTTTTTTTCACAAATAAATCATATTTGATATATATGCCTTCTTGTGTATAGACACATTTTTTTTTGTGGAAAATTCAGTGAAGTAAGATTTGTCCATGACTAAGTGTTCCTGGGGAAAAATGTTGTTAACCTTGTCAGTAGTCGTAGAACATTATGAAAAAGTAAGTTTCAGTCCATGATCTTATTGCTTATCTCATGAAATCCAATATTTGTAAAAAAGAGTATCAATAACTTTCGTAAAGCATGACATTTGTCAGTTGTGTGCATGTGTATATGCATAAAGAGAAGGAATATTTCCCATGCTTAAATTTAATGACTTTTACCTTGTAAAGTATTACAAGAAAAAATATTAATATTTTCATGCTCTTTTCTAAATGAAAATTCCTGTTTCATTCCCATTCTCTCTGTACCATTTCAGACTACCAAAAAATGCTGAGTATTAGTTAAAAATTTAGTCTGAAGCCCGGAGTTCTATATGGACACATAGAAATGGGATTAAATAGATCACAGACCCATAAAACTTTGCTTAACTAGGATTTTCTAAAAGTGGGCTAAGAGAAACTTTAAAGGAAGATTAATGACTGTAGCAAACTGCAGAAATGGAACTTAATACAAGACGAAAGACAATAGATGTGCTATTCTTTGCTCCTTTTACTGTTATTGACACTGCCTGTACTTAAAGGAGGTTTGCCAACTTTAAATAAAACTATGCTTCTCAACACAATTCCTTTTGTACAATGTCATCATAGTTTTCATGGCAAAAGCTCCATATGCCTCCAAAATAAGTGACCAGATTATTACTGTGTTTATTTCCTTCCTTTTTTTTTGCCTCCATGACAGTTTGGGATTGATCTGATGGAGTATTTCCTTCTTCTTAAGTACTTTGCTTTGCACAATGCAATGAGTGCCTTCTGCACAGCGGTGCATCGTAGGCACCTACCCAGAAGTCAGGATTCATCATGTCTGTGGGACCATCTTAAAGTACCTTGTTGAGTAATGGACTAAAACTGCTCAGGCCAGGAGACAACTACAATAATTCAAGGGAAGTGAATGGCTCACTCCTGGTTTGGGACTTCTTAAGGGGACTTCTTAATCAGCTGTTAAAAATTGTCATTCAGGAAATAATTCTTCCAGTAAAGGCAGGACTATGCAAGCACTAGCTTTTCAGGAAGGAAGCTCAGTGACTTCACCTTTATCTGCAAAGTAGCTGCGAGGTTGAGGAAAACAATTAGGTTTCAACTAAGCCCAGCACCGCAGAGAAACTTAGCACCCATCAGATGAGCTAACCTACCAGCAGATAAAGCAATGACTGCAAATCAAGGCACAGAGTTTTCAAGCTGAGTGCACAGGGGCTTGACAGCACAAAGATCACACTGAGCAGAATTTCAGGGAGCGTCAGTGGTGCCTTCTGCTGTCCATCCCTTCTTAGGCAGACCTCCAGAGATTCTGCTGCTTACAAAACAGCACCTCATGGGATCTTGTGGCATGACTGGGCCACAGGCTACCTCTGGCTAGACCCAGCAGTGCCTTCCTAGCACTTTACTAGAGGACATGTTACTGGGAGAATCTCACAGAATCACAGAATGTTAGGGATTAGAAGGGACCTCAAAGGATCATCTAGTCCAATCCCCCTGCCGGAGCAAGACCACCTAGATTAGATCACACAAGAACACGTCCAGGTGGGTTTTGAACAGCTCCAGAGAAGGAGGCTCCACAACCTCTCTGGGCAGCCTGTTCCAGTGTTCTGTTACCCTTACTGTGAAGAAGTTCTTCCTCATGTTTAAGCGGAACCTCCTATGTTCCAGCTTATATCCATTTCCCCTGTCCTATCATTGGATGCCAGTGAGAAGTGCCTGGCTCCATCCTCATGACAGTCACCCTTTACATATTTATAAACATTAATGAGGTCCCCCCTCAGTCTCCTCTTCTCCACGCTAAAGAGACCCAGCTCCCTCAGTCTTTCCTCATAAGGGAGAGGCTCCACTCCCTTAATCATCTTTGTGGCCCTGCACTGGACTCTCTCAAGCAGTTCCTTGTCCTTCTTGAACTGAGAGGCCCAGAACTGGACACAATATTCCAGATGCGGCCTCACCAAGGCAGAGTAGAGGGGGACAAGAACCTCTCTCGACCTACTAACCACACCCCTTCTAATACACCCCAGGATGCCTTTGGCCTTCTTGGCCACAAGGGCACATTGCTGGCTCATGGTCATCCTGCTGTCCACCAGGACCCCCAGGTCCCTTTCCCCTGTGCTGTTCCCCAACAGTTCAGTCCCCAACTTGTACGGGTACATGGGGTTGTTCTTACCCAGATGCAAGACTCTACACTTGCCCTTGTTGTATTTCATTAAATTTCTCCCCACCCAACTCTCCAGCCTGTCCAGGTCTCTCTGAATGGCAGCACAGCCCTCAGGTGTGTCAGCCACTCCTCCCAGTTTAGTGTCATCAGCAAACTTGCTGACCATGCACTCTTTTTGCATACACAAAAAATGACATACACATTTTTTGTCCTGTAGCTGCCTGCATTCATCTGCATTTATAAAATTTAATGGCAAATCTTCAGAATTGCAAATGACAGCTATAAACTCCAGCAGTGGACCAATGGTGCTTATCTTCTCTTGTTGCTTTTGAAAATAGCCCCCAAAGTGAACTTTAAAAAAACAAACAAAACCTTTCAATTTGCCTACCCATATATCCATAAAAACAAGTTCATGCATAGAAGCTTGGAGGTTATAGCTGACTAGATCGGATGGCAGTCACATTTCTTGAGTGCTTTAAAAAGAAACAACCCATTAAGCTTTTATTTCAGTTGTTGAGAATCACTGTACATCTGCATTGCTTCAGTAGGTACTTCCTTTGCTCTGCTGACTGTGTGCTGCATTTAATCCATGCTTCATGTATGCCTTTTATAAATACATTGTTGTGTTTCACTTCAACCAATAGGTAAGCCTATTGCTAGTGACCACAAGCCTTTGGGTTTTGGAAACCCTTTGATGAAAACCAACACTGATACAGGTTTAAGATGTGGACAAGGTCCGAGGATCAGCACTGTGTTTGTGACCTGTGCATAAGAGGTCTGATAAAGACTACTGCTTTTGAAGCTTAGTACTGAAATGTCTCATCAAAACAGAATATTTAATCCACCATTTTCAAACCATCATAGAGCTACTAAAAAAATCTTGGCAGCTGAGGTCCCTCTGTACTGGTTGGATATTCAGTAGTTATATGTCCACCTGCACTGTACAGAGATCATGCACTATAGAAACCTGTATTTTCAGTAACCAACTCAAAACTAACACAGGATCATGCTGGTTATTTATTGTATAAATAAAAAAAACCCAACCAATAAATAAGCAGCCCATAGTTATTAGCCCATAGTTAGCCCATCCATCCATCCATCCATCCATCCATCCATCCATCCATCCATCCATCCAGATTGGATGAGGCTTTGGGCAACCTGGTGTAGTGGAGGGTTTCCCTGCCCATGGCAGGGGGGTTGGAACTAGATGATCTTTGAGGTCCCTTCCAACCTTAACCATTCTATGATTCTATGATTTACATGGTTAATGAATAGCAGCTCACCGTTACTATCCTGACTTTCTGGATGGTTCATATCAGGATGCAAATAGACTTTATCCACATTTACAGGAGTAATTAATATCACTATAGAAATCAATGACTATTATGCCACCATCCTACTCCAGCACTTAATACTACATATTTAAGAATCTTAAGTATACGGAATTATCAATACAATTTGGAAACTGCCATTCATATTGAGATCACACTATGGTAATGAAACAGCATTTTTCTGTCCTTTACAATATACAAGCAGTATATAGCACAAACACATTTAAAACTTGGATTAAGTACCTCTGATATCATACCAGAAGCATTTAAAATATTCTGTGGTTGCCAAAACACGGGACAAAACCTAGAAAAATTTACTTGAGTCACAAGACATGTCAGATTTTTAAATAAAATCAGTTGTTGATATCTTTAAATCAGTTGTTCTGATTCATTTATTCTCATGAACTATACTGAGACACTATATTGCTCTCTCTGTAAAGAAACGTCTTCATTAAGATTCTGTCCCAAAGTCCACTGAAACAGGAAAAAAATCCCATTGGGTCTAATGGTTTGGGAAAATTTTGCCCAAAACCACAGTGAAATTCTGTGAGTGTTTATTTTCCAAGCAAATAGCCTTATCTATGAAATTGGAAGGAAGTAGGAAATGTTATTGTCATCAATACAGGCAAGTGGCTGCTGCTATTATTCTCCAACAAAAGGTTCTTTCTTTGCACAATACACCAGTCTTAATCGTCAATATAAGTTTTGTCGACAAAGGTATCTGCAAGGTCTCTCCAAAATAAAATAACTGATCCACAGTTGTTATAATACTCTCATCAGTGGAATCTTTTTGAATACACAAAAACACTGTCAGACTCTGTATTCTTGACTGTGTGTATTTACCTTCCAGGTGACCCTAATGCTTTGGGAAGATATAGGTTCAAGCTGGACATCCTGAGGTGGACCATCAGGAGCTGCAAAGAGAGAAGAGACAGGGATCAAAATTGGCCTTCACAGCACAGAATTCAGCACGTCACGTGGTATATCACCATCTTAACACACCAGCATCACAAGGATTTGGGCTGAGTCAATGTCATAGGGAAAACTGAATATATCACTTTATTAAACAAAAGCGAAGCCTAGCATCTTCCTTATTCAGGTGTCCTCTCTGGCCAACAGTGAAATACAACTTAGCAACCTGACAAATAAGAGAAGAGTCAATAATAGTGACTTTTCTTTTTTAGTGACATGCTCACAATCATGTTTCTGTTTTGCATTTAGGCAAGACATATTTTCAGCAGTCAGAATCCCGTAGGTGATAGAAAGGCAGCAGAACCCATTTGAAAGCAGTGCAGACATGAGTTCCTCAGACAGCCTTCATCATGTTGCACACATTCCAGTGGGATTCCCTTTGTTCACAAGAGATTGAGTACATTCAGTCAAATATCAAATACTTTATACACAAAAACCTGCACACTTTACCCTTTCCCCCTCCCCAGTGTAAGTATCCCAGCCTGGAAATCAGGCAAAAAATAACTGCTGGATGGAAAAAGCGCACTGCAGCTCCTACCTGCATCAGAAGAAGTTTCATTTACTATTGATACACTGCCAAGGGTGTGCATGATGCTTTAAAGGTGAATGAAAAAAGAAGGCCCTAAGCCTAGGGGAACCTCTTGTCAGCTGGGCAGCTACAAAGCAGATCAAGAATTGGCTGGGACTGAATGGAGGGGTGTGAAGTAAATTGCTTGCTCAGTGAGGTAAATCACTGTAAAAGAAAGATCTGAAGAAAGGAACAGAGTAATCTCAAGCTGCTATAGAGAGTTCTCTTGATGCAGAATATGGCCTCAGTAAAAGGTATTAAATTAAGTTTAATAGCACGACAAAGGAAGTAAAGCAATAAAAAGGGTGAGATGAGGCTGTTAAAGGTGGAGCAGTAGTAAATGACAGCTGCGGTGAAAGGAACTGGAACATTTTACTTCAACTGAGGAAAGCAGAGAGACCCAGAATACAGCCTATAATATGTTTAAGTTATTATATATGCCCTATTCTGTGCCATTCTTGACTGTCCTTCATATGGGAAATTTCCAAAGGTTGAAAGAACTTTATTTCCATTCCCCTTGCATTAATATACGAGAAGTCCACTGGCAAAAATGAAAACTCTATAAATTTTTTTAATCCTATCCTTGAGTCTGTCCCTCTGTTGACAAACATGAATGTCATTTCTCTGGGTACGTTATAATGTAGTGAAATTTGAGCAAAGCATTTGACTATAAAAGTAGGTTTTAAAATGTGCTCCTTAAAATCTTAACTTTTCCTTGAAAGACCCCAAAAGTTTTTACAGATCTGAGCAGTTAAATGTTTCCAGCATACCATTGTGAAATGTTAAATAAGTCATTTATTTTACATACTTAACGTCATACAGAGTTTGTGACAAAGACATAAAGAAAACCCAGATATCCCAGTTTCCACTATTGATGTCAGTATTAAGCAACAACCATAATGCTTTTGTTTTTCTGATAAGCATTATTGCAAGTGTGTACCTGCAGTCTGTTTTCCAACACAGGAGCTAACTGTGGTTGTATGGAGGGAAAGATGTGGTCTGTAAGCTTTGAAATCATGCCATACTCGACTATCCTTTTGTCACAGAGGCCTTTCACAGTTTGCTTTCTAATAACCAGTGCTGGGCAACTCAGGTCACTGTAATATGTGATAACACAATCTGCGTTCTCTTGCCAAGCATGGTTTGAGCTGTTCAGTTTTTATATTCTTCCTTGGATCTTTATTTTGCTCCCTTCTCATTACCTTCTCTCTCATTCCCTGCACCCATGCTGTTCTCTATTTCCTGTTGTAAATCAGAGAACAGAAGTAAACAGTGATCAAAAACTGATGCTCCTGTACGTTGCACACCACCTGAAATCAAAACCCAAGAGACACACATGACACACTCTGACTAAGCCTGACCTCCTCTCTTCCAATTGTTCCCTAGGTAGATCAGTGACTTTTGAATACAGTTCCATACTGCTGGTCTTTTTCTCCAAAGAGATGGCTCCTTAAAAGAGAGCGACAAAAGAATCAATTATTCTGAAACTTGGTTACAAAGAATTGAATGAAACGTGATGTTAAGGTTCCACCCTTTTCATGGGGAAGCTGTTTTTTTGTTCCAAGGCCAGCTGCTGATCCTGACAACTTAATTACCAGGCAGGAAAATCTCAGCAAGTAAGAAATATTCCAAGCATGGTGAATAAGAGAGAGTGAGAGAGTAGATCCCAGACCCACCCCTCTGCTTTGATGTATATGCACAAGGAAGGGTGGGCATTTTGGTGACAAAGATGATGCTGGCTGGAAGAATGGAGAGTTGGTTTTCTCTAGTCATTCACATTGAACAAAGGAAGAGAAAAACCCTGATCAAAGGATAAATATTTTGCAAACAAACTATTCACTGTTAGTAAAGCTATTCACTGAAGGCTTATAAAAATATGAATACTCTTCACTCCTTCCCTTCCACTAGCATGAAAAAAGATACCTGGTAAAAAAAAAATGCAGCTCATGTTGTCTTCTGCTTACTCTGCTTTGCACTGAGAGCCCTTGTGTCCTGCTCTTATTCAAAAAGTCCCCCGGAATCAAAAACATGTTCTCCTGACAACAGGTATATTTTCACTGTAGTAAATGCACCCACAGAGAAAATGAGTGGGAATTACACAGTTGTATTCATATGAGCTGAATTGAAAATCGGTCACCTAGTGCTTAAAGTCTAGACCAACATGAATCTTGAAAAAGAAGTAGGGTTTTCACTGCCAGGACACCATCACGCAGATACTTGCATTACAGTTTTCCTCTCAAAATCCCCAGAGACGGAAGCATTGCTGACTTAGCATAAGATAACAGGAAAAATAAAATTAGCAAGATAAAATTGTGTTTTCAAATAGAAATAAGCAAGCTCATGTCTGGTCAAGACATTTCAGAGTAATTCCACCCAGTTTCATGGCTAAGGGTGTTGAAGCTGCTTGGGTTACTCTCAACTGTACACCTATGTACATTGCATATAATTGCAATGTATACCTGGTGGAAGTATTTATGACCATTCAGCATTTTCATCCTAATTGATGAAATAGAGAGCTGTAGCCCTCCATCTTTGACCCCTAAGTCTTTTCCACTGTCACAGGTAACGTGTAGGCCTTGGGACATGGTAGCATGCACAAGTTTGTGCTATCCTTATCCATCTGCCACTCCTGCTAGCTGAGAAATAACAATAAGACGGCACTGGAAGGCAGCGATTTGAGTGTATGAAAGAGTGGCTTCAGCTGTCATAGTGAAAAAGTCTACATAGTCCTCCTGGTATAGAAACCTGTAGCGATGCAGAAGAATGCATGGAAACAAAGGACAGGGGATGACACTAATGGCAGCCAACTGACTTGTACAGTATTCAGAAAACTAAATAGTGGGTGGGGTAGCAGATGGAATACCAAAGGAAGATATGATTCATGTAAATCAATGTTCTCAACTGGGGGTACCTTAAATTAGTTACTTATACTAATACCTGGGCATCTAAGAAAAGCCACAAGACCCATAGAGGAGGAAGCACCACTAAGAATAGAATGTTGTTGATTGAGTTGCCTAACTGTAGATATAGGTGTGCTATTTCCAGCACCTCAGGCTGAAAATATGTAGCTCAATGTCTTTTTTGACCACTAGATGCCACTGAATGGTTTTAATTACAGGCCTGCACAATGAAGTTGCAAAAGTCACAGTGTTTTATGGGAACAATTCTGTATTTCTTTCGGTGCAGCTGCAGCAACATAAGTAGCATTTCAAGCAAAGGTTCCTCACATCAAAAAGCAATAATTCCCAGCACAATTTAGATGTTGCAAAACCAGAGAGCGTACCTGCTTCATCAGTAGTGATGGTGAGCTCATTGCTGGCCTCACTCTTGCCGATGCGATTCTTGGCATACATGCGAATGTTGTAAGTTGAGGAAGGGTGGAGGTCGATGATAGTGGCTTGGTTCAGCTGAGGGGAAACATCTTTGGTTCTCTGAACAGAATCCCAAGAGTCTATTTAAGAAGAGATTAAAATAAAACAGACAAATAAAAGATGACGTTAATGTCGCTAACACAAGCATGCAGTCAAACCATCTTGCAGAGTGGGATACTGCCATTGCTGAATTAACCCAGATAACGCCAGCTGCTACAAGCAAATCATGTGGTCGCCTTCCTTGACAGCACTCTTGACTGCTCCAAGTGTGGTGCTGTGAACAACGGGAACTTGGCCTCAGGGTCACCAGCAAATCCAACGAAATAGCTATTTCTTTGTCTTTTATCGAGAGGGTGGTGAGAGCAGCTAAGATTTCCCAGCTTTGCGTGCATGCCTGTGTGTGTACATACAGTTTTTTTTACCACTGCTACATGGGAACAATGGTGAAAAAGGTGAGAGTTGCTGCCCCGCAGAAATCCTCACTCAGAGAGAAAGTTGGTTGTGCTCCAAAAAGGGGGGAAAGGGAGTTAATAAACAGAAATGGGGGGCTCCTAGACTAGCAGAGATCAGGTAGAAAGTTTGATCCCAAACTCCAGGAGCTCAGACCATAGGTGAACAGTGAGCATGAGCTTGGAGTATTTTGCTGGCTTAGTCGTGGGGCTCAGCACCCTCCAGGACTGATGTTATTTCTCTGACTCATGTTAGGCTACAGGAGCAGTTCAATACAAGGGGAATGTAGAACTCTTTTAGTTGTTTCCATGTATCTGTAAAAGGAGGAGCACATTGTTATTATTCATTCTAACTATTCATCTGCCTGTTATATTTTTAATGAATTCTCCAGATGTATAATAGGAAAAAGGATGAAAATTGGCTAAACATAGTCATCCAAGCATTCAATTGCTGCAAACAAAATAACAGGATCTATCTGTTTAAAGCATCTCTATGTCTTTTATGAACTGTCATCCTTCATTTCTTTCTTACTGCAGGCGATGTTCCTCCTTTAACCTCTGCAGCATCCTATGGGGGATGTCACTGAAGGTTCTACAGGAGTGTCTTACAGTATGGGTCACTGTAGGCAGGATTGCGGAAAGCTCAGCAGATAAGAAAGACTAGTTTAAAAATAGAAAGCTCACTCAGATACAAAATATTTGCACATACTGTGCATATTCTTTTCTACGAGCTTGCTAAAAGATGCACAAGTTGTCACAATGCCATCTGCAGCTTGGCTGGTTACAGGGCCTGTTTGCTTGTCTGTGTGGCTTCTTTTACTCAGAAAACATTTAGGAATCAGACGTTTAATTGCTAAACAAATTCTCTTGAATATATTTTTCCTTGGTAACTGAGTATGGCACAGCTTCCTCTGTAGGACACTTTCAGAAGCTCTAAAGGAGTTACCTGCAGGCAGTGCAGCTACAACTTGCTTTCAGTTTGCTACAACTTCACAGAATTTCTTAAACTTTACAAAATTCTAACCAGCAGTTACACTCCATTGTGTTAACTGTTATACAAGCACAGAAGGAGACTCTGTCTGTTCCAGTGTACCATGCCAACAGGAAAGGAAGTTTAAAAAAAGGCTCACTTGATATGGAGAATGTGTTGAATTTCACCTGATGAGGATAATAATTTCTTTTAATATAGTCTGTATGTTACTAAAATGCTTTCACTTGGTTGGTTGAAATATGACCTTTGAGTGGTAGGACTCTGTAGTACATATTAACTGCCAAAATAAAATAAACAAATTTGAAAAATTCTTGCGACTCTTAGTAGATTGAGTAATGACATACAATGGAGAAAGAGAGAGACGAAAACTCACAGTCTTCTGTGCTTCTAAATGTAGGTTTCAAGTGTTTATTTATGACTAATGCATGGACTTCAATAGTTTATTTTGAAACATGTATCCTCTTTTTGAAGGGGAAAACAAAACAACAAAAAAAATCTCTCCAAGCTGACCCAGTCCAGAGAGAAATGAATCAATTTATCTCCCAAACTGCTTTCAGTTTTGAAAAACTTAAGTCTTAATAAGAAAAAAAGAAAAAAAAACAGTTAATTTTGGTTTTATTTCAGCAAACCCTATAATTATTTGTTCACGTCCACATGGTAAGTAACTGAGTGAGGTATCGACTATTGGCTCTTCTGGTTTTTATTGTTGCTCCAGAGAGCTCTAAAATCTACTTATCCAGAAAGACTGAAAAAGCCACAGAAAACAAGCAGCAATGGGTTAGCAGAAAAAAAGAAAGAAACGTTAAGAGTGGAATTTTTAATGTGTTATTTATTCCACTCATAAAACATTACTCTCAGGCACTTCTCAGTGTTATACATAATGATCTATGGAAAATTTACGGTTTTATGAAAACCAGCAGCTTTCTACCCGTTCCTAAAACAAAGGCTGAAGCTTCGGGGTCACCCTGCGGCAGACAATCGGGGCTCAGCCGCCCTTCGAGGCTGA